TTACCCATAAAAATTTCTCAGAGTATTTGTTCCCACAGGAAGATCTACCTCAATGAATGAGAAGATAAAAAAAAAATTTACTAGACAGTATAAAATCAGTGGATCGGTGAAATGGGTGGTGAAAGGTACATGGATATGTACCTATATTCTTATAATAATGTGGTAATTTTTCTAAGGCACAGCCTCTAATACTAATAATACTGTTAAGGGAAAAACCCAAGATAGTTATCACTGTATACAGTATGCTTCTACCCATGTAAAAAGAAAAAATAATGTATTCTTGTTTAGATATGAGTAAAAGAAATGACAAATAGTAGTTTCCCCAAAGTGTTTTAAAATGTAGGTTTTATTATTAAAGAATGGTGAGGCCACCAGATCAGGAGACCACTGTCACTGAAAAGGTAGTTTCTTATTCACAACACCCGTGATAAGAGGGCGTGCCACGCACACCGCACAGGGCCACACGAGCCTGCACGGGGGTCGGTCAGGAGGCTGAAGGAGCAAGGAGAAAGCATGCACCAGAGCCTTTCCTGTGGTTTCCACAGAAAGGACAAGGTGACACAGCACGAGCAGGTTTAGAATTGGCTGGTATGAATTATTTCAATGGACTCTGGTACTCACTTCATGCATGAATCTCAAAGTAAATATGCTGAGTGTAAGAATCTTTACCAAAAAAAAAAAAAATAGTATACACTCTGTGAGTCTAATTGTAGAAAATTTTAGGGAGCGCAAACTAATACACAGTGACCGAAAGCAGATGAGTGGTTGCCTAGGGGATGGGAGCAGAGAGCAGTAGCGGGGAGGGGATACAGAGAGGCATGGCGAAACTTTGGGGAGCAACAGGTAGGTTCACTGCTTGACTGTGGTGATGGTTTCAGTGTTGGATAGCTATGTGAAAACTCATTAAATTGCAGGCTTTAACTATGTGCAATTTATTATATGTCAATTACACTTCAATAAAACTTTTAAAATAAAGAGCAATACTTGCTTTGTGTCTAAAACCTGGAAAATACCAACACAGAGGTAAGGGAATAAAACTGTGGTCTTTTCTAAAGCACGTACAAGCCCCAAGTGAACACTTGAAACTTATATGCCAGTTTTAAGTTACATATCAGGCCTCAAAAGTTCAAATTGATAACAATGACTAAAAAGACACTTTGCTGAGGTTGCTCCACTTTGCTGAGGTTACTCGTGGAGAATGAAGCCTGTGAGTGCACACTGGTCCCCATTGTTTGGGGCCCTCCTTCTTCTCTGTCCTTGACACTCTGCAAAGGAAGCTGCGACGTATGTGTCTGCAGGAGCTGGGCAGTCAGGGCTCGGACAGCCCAACACTCTAGGCTCTTGTCTCTCTCCCACCTCGAGCAACCGCACAATTTTTGTTAAAAGAAGCAAATTTACCCTGATATTGAACATAATCAAACAAACGATGTTATAAGAATTTCTGGTGTCAACAAAAGTGTGTGTGTCAGGAAAGGAAAATGAACCAAGTCTCTTTTGCTTGTACCCTCTGTAAAAGGAAACACCCTGCCACCCACCACCCCTTAGAAACAACACAGGAGGAACCATCTGAGATGCAGACAGAAAGGCAGTTCCAGGCACAAAAACTTTGACTAGAACACAAAATACATTTAAAAATGTTCATCCAAACTTGTCGTTGAGAATCCCCCATTCAGATTATCAAATCCAGTCCTAGCAAGGTTTTCTGTTCTGTTTTTTAAATTACGCGTCATACTATGACAAAAGGAGAGAAAAGTCGGGAGGGATGTTTCCTCCTCTCCAAAAGGACTTAGTGAGGTCAACTGATTTAAGTTTATACAAAACATGCCAAGGGACTGTATGCAGACTCTCCAAATTAGGTCATTATTTATAAAAATAGCGTAAATATTATCCTTTAACCCTTCTTCTGGTATTTATGCTTTTCCACCAAGCATAGCCATTCTCTCACACGCTCATCTAACTCGATCTCTTGGCCTCACCACTCCTTTAAACTGTCCCAACTTGAAGAACATCCCCTACCTCTTGTCCACCCATCCACTTTACTACTTTCAGAATCAGCACACTAACTTTTCCAAGGGGCCTCATCCTCCTAACTACACCACCACATGAGTCATCATCAGTTCCACAGTTCCTCCAGAGGCACTGATTAGCACCTGGGCACACATCTCACACCCAGCTGTCTCTCTTTGCTATTTCACTTACATAGACTACATACTCTCAAAGCATCTCTTAACATGCTGGGTACACAGCAGAAGCTCAATAAACGCTCGATGTGTAAACAAATAATTTGAATGGCAATGAATTCCAGCTTTCTCCAGTCTGCTGGATGCTGTGATAATCACCAGGGTCCTAAATTTCTCTTTACCACTAAGGGGCAAGCAGACGCATTTTACCTTGTCAAATTTGTTTATCCAAAGGAGAGGCACAGGATCTGTCAATCTACTAAGACCTTGGTTATCTCATGCAGAGTTAACAAAGGTAACTAACACCTGCAAGTGGGAGAGGCCGTGGCATCCTTCCTGGAAGTGACGCTGAGCACGCATGCATGCACTTGCCTAAACAGGCCTGCAGAAATGCTCAGCACTAGTCACAAGATGTGAGGGCCTGGGAGCCAGTTTTCTCCAAGATCCCAGAGGTAAAGCCTCACTACTGTCCACATCTCCTGATTTCCAGCCCAGTGATTTTCTCGCTCCGCCATTAATAATAAAGTAACACGATTTAGGGTCCGCAGGTGGTCTGATGGGTCAGCACATCACAGGAACTTTCTTCCACCAGGCTGTCTTTCACCAGCTTTCATAGTCTGGCCCCCAATAATACTGAGGCTGTATTTACTATATTCTTTTATAATGCCCATGCTAAAATATGGTTATTTCTCAGTCTTTAGAGACTTCAGGTGACTTGTGGAATGATCAAATTTCTCTATTAAACACACAGTTTATTACATACTTCACAACAAATATTCCTGAGTGCTAACTATGGTTATTTTCCACTACTATCTGCCTTCAACTCATAAAAAAATAAAACCTCTCTGTAGTCTCATGGCTTTTCCCCTGCTATCCTATCAGCAGGATGCATATGCTACCCACCCAGGGGTCTGGGAGCTAGCTATGGACTCCTGAAAGGGATTTCTACTCCCGGAAGATAAGGAAGAGCTTAGAAGTCTCGGCAGACATCTCTTTTTAAGAGTTGTCAGAATAAGGCTTCCCTGGTGGCGCAGTGGTTGAGAGTCCGCCTGCCGATGCAGGGGACACGGGTTCGTGCCCCGGTCCGGGAGGATCCCACATGCCGTGGAGCGGCTGGGCCCGTGAGCCATGGCCACTGAGCCTGCGCGTCCGGAGCCTGTGCTCCGCAGTGGGAGGGGCCACAACAGTGAGAGGCCCGCGTACCGCAAAAAAAAAAAAAAGAGTTGTCAGAATAGAGAGATGTAAAGGGAGTAGCAATGCCACATTAATCCCACTTCTACAAGACATAACACAACAGCAGTGTCATCATCATTTCAGAGGCCTGAGATGACCAAGGTTTCAAGGTTTCAGTAGCTCTAACTTATGTAATTATAATGGCATAATTATCTCAAGGTAAAAGTAAATCCTAATACAGTCAAAATAAATCTTGTTGACTTGTAGCAATCAAGAAAGACAGTCTATATGATAGGTTGGAATATGGTGACAAGAGGTTTAAAAACTAACATTTTAATGTACTTTTTAAGACACAAAATATTACATACACACATGTTCCCTTATCAGATTATCTTTCTACAGGTATTTTGGTACACAGATATTGAACTCAAGCTTCCTTCCACCTCAAGAACTGCTTCCTTTTAAGTTCAACGAAGGAAATTATGAAATAAGAATTGCACCCAAAAAAAAAAAAATAAAAACTGGCAAGGAAGCTGAGAATGCCTCCTTAACTTTGGTTTTTGTATATTATTTCTTTGACATATCAAAAAGACAACCCAGTAACTGAACAGGCCAGCTCCCTCAGAATAAGACATAATGAGCAAAGACATGATAGAGGCATGTAAATTATAAATCTACCACTTCAGAATCCGTAACTAGATCCTATGAAAAAGTACTGAATCACCGAAAATCTGGGTTCAAAGGCCAGTGATCTACTTCATGAGAAGTTTTATGTTCCTACAAATAAATTGTCCTCTCAGTGTCACACGGTGGTTCTGGTTTTAACTCTGATCAAGAAATCAGAGTGCAACCCTCCACTTGTAAAGTTTTCATGTATAAATGATACCTAACTTTTCACTACACAGATGATAGCTATGTTGAACCTTTGTGTGTGTGTGTGTGTGTGTGTGTGTGTGTGTGTGAGAAATAGTAAAAAAGAGAACCAAGACTTCAGAAGAAAGTTGATGCATTATCAAATGTAAAAGAATAAATATTTGAAGTTTATAAGGATTCTGGAAGAGGATTTTGGAGTCAAGGAGCCACCTACTTAGAAAAAGGGTGTCAGACATTCAGAGGAGAAAACAGTTAGAAGGAAAACTTGAGGTATGAGTTTAAGAAAGTAACTGCTCCCAAACTGAAAATTATTTAATACTGATCCTCTACTGCCTAAAGAGATATAGCACTGCTCTAAGGAAAAATTCCAAAACAACATTAAAAAAAAAAAAAACTACTGTGAATTGTGAAATAAACTCTTGATATTTTTCATAAAAAGTAGAGTCTGGAAAATTTAGCAGCAGTAGAATTTGAGGTTAAGTTTAAAATGTATCACTAATTTAGGAACTATTAATGAAACTACAATATTTGCTTTTTAACCTGCAAGTGAAACTCTACTAATGAGCAAAATAGTTTTATAAAAGCAAATTCAAAGGAAAAAAAATTGGGGATAAAATTTTCATGAGGGAATAAAGGCTTGTCTTGAGTAACTCAAAAGGGAAACGATTTATCAAAAACTAAATAAAAGTGGTAAATTAAGAAACTTAATTCTTAAATTTCCCTATATCAAGAGCATATAAGCATGAATATTTCATACATAATATTAACACATACCTGTCTTAGGATTTATTGAAAAAAATCCTTGTGGATTTCCACTTGTAATTTTGTATGTCAGCTTGTCATCGGAGCTAGAATCTGGATCAAATGCCTCAATCTGGACCACAGACACATCCTTGGGAGAGTTTTCCATTATTTCCGGATAATAAACAGGCTCTGAAGTCTGCGGTGCATTGTCGTTCACATCCTCCAGCTCTATATAGACCTCTACAAAGGAGGAAAGGGGCACGACGCCCTGATCAGACGCGTAGACTGTTAGCCAGTAATGGGAGGTGGACTCGCGGTCCAGTCGACCTGAAGTCTCTATAACACCTAGAGGAGGAAGAAGAGAAGCATGAAGTAGCCTGTCAACCATCGCCGCCAACTGTCACTCTGAGAAAGCATCAGCCTAAATGACAACTCTTATGCCTTAAGCCGTACAGAAGGCTTCTGTGTCGCTTACAGCGATGCAATCTGAAGCCAATTGTCTAACCTCTCTGTGCCTCAGTTTCTTTTCCTATAAAATGGAGTAATAAGAGTAGTGTGTTCCTAGGTTGATGAAATGAACTAACACATATAATGATTAGAATATAGCACTTGGCACGCAATATTGGTTATAAAAGTATTTGTCATTATTAGTATTAGGTGCCAGGCACTATGTGGGGCACTTTACAACTATTATCTTATTTAAGTCTCAAAACAACCCGAAGAAATGAATGGGCAAATATGGTCTCTTGTGTCCTGAAACCCGTCAGTTTCTTTTAATCACCTTAAGCAAATGGCAAGACAACCAGGATGCTAAAAATATAAATTCTCCTACCACATTATAAGCTCCACAGGAGCAGAGACCACATCCTTCTAAATGCCAGTTTACCCAGCACATTACCCAAAGCCCAATAATTATTTATTAAATGAATGAACAAAAATGAATGGATATATTAACTGGAGTTGATACAGAAAAGTCCTCAAATGGGATCCAAACTAGGACACATTTCTCATTAAGTCAACTAGTAAGAGATGGAATTATAAAATTACAAAAAAAGTTAGAATGTCTGTAATCTTTTGGCCCAGCCACTGAAACCACGCGAAATCTTATTTAATCTCAAGATTAACCTATTCTCAGGATGATTAACAGTGGAAATATCCATTTCTCTTGGGCAAATTCCACCTTTTTATTCAATGGTGTAAACTTGTCCTTTGGCTTTCCCAAAATACATCACTGGATTTTTTTCTTGTGCAATAATCATCCTGAATTAACGCTATTTTTAGGGTTCAACATGATCCAGGTTGAACTATGGAAATCCTACAACTTTAAAATCACTGAAGCTTCCCATTTAATGCAAAATACTATGGGAAAAATAACAAATGTCAATTTAATCTGTGCTCAAAAATGAAACAGTATTTATCTCAACTAAATATATACATCTGTATTTCTTGATCATTATGTAAATTTAAATATTTGCTTATTTGAGGTTAATATCACAAAAAAACCTCATTTATTTTGAACGTTAGATAATTATATCTAACACTCCCCCAAAGGTTTACAACTTAAAAACAGCAAACCTAAATATTATAATGTGAAATAGATTATCATAAAATGAATGTGTATTGCTATTCAGAAGTACTGCTTCACTATTTCTTTGCAAACCCTCAAAATGGATCTCCTCCTAGAAATATGGAACAAAGCCTCAGAACTCTTAAATAAAAAAGGAGCTAGCTGGTCTCTCTATGCAGCAGGCAACTCAAACACGTTTTCCTTTTTTCTCTGGTCCAAACATAAGTCTATGCATACTCAATCTGTTCACCAAATTATATTTGTTTTTAGCCTGAAAGAAGAGTGCCCTTAGTAACCAAGTGAAAATAATCTTTTCCAGTTTTTCTTTGTCTCACTCCCATCAACCGATACAAAGGACGCCAGGGAACAGTTCTAAGAGGATTACATATTAATAAATGAATGTACATATGCTTCTCTTGTTTCTGCCATGTCATTAAAATGTAACATAATTCATTTGGCAGGTGAAGTATTATTAGAAAATTTAAAGACAGGTACGTGGTACTTGTATTCACCTCTTTTGAGTTCTAATCCTCCAACAGTTCATGCTGCTATCCACTTTTAAAAACTGTGTCCCTCTCAACGTCATTTGTAGGCATTTAATAACAATAATTAGGAAAAATTTTGTCAGTCTTTATGATACGTCAGGCACTATTAACTGTCTTACACGCATTATTTTATTCATTCCTTATATCCAACCTGCCCATATATGTGGTGTTATTATCCCCATTTCATGAACGAAAAACTCAGATTAAGAGTGATGAGGAACTTTCCCAGGGTCATAGTAAATGGCAGAGCTGGAGCTCAAATACTAGGAATCTCTGACTTCAGGGCCACCAAAATTCCATCCGTCTTACTGTTAGTATGACAAAAGTTCAGTCAACAAAATTTAACATGAAAACTCTGAAAAGACAAGTCAAACCTCATACTTTGTCCATTTTTTTGCATGTCAGTATTTAGAAGGAGTTTATTAAGTGAATATTCACATACAATAGCTTCTTTTAGTGTCAGGATGGAAGGAAAGAAAGAGGTAGAAAATGCAAATACATAATAAGAATTAAACCACAGACAAAAACAGTTATTTATTTTCCATCAAGTTCCACTTGGAGTCTGGTCTGTGTCCTGACTAGTGTACAATTATGGGATGGATACTTCTGCTGGGAAGAGCCCCTCTCCCCCAATCAACCTAGCAACTGAGGGGGTAGCCACACCCTTCTGTGCATGACCTCTGAGCCACAGTCAGGAGGGAAAGTTTCCAAGTCCCAGGTAATCTCCAGATACTACCAACAGTTCAAAGTGAGACTCCAAAGTAGCTCTACTCAAATATGGAAGAAACTAGAATTGTATCAATTAGTAATTAAATACACATAAGTGATGTTCGTATTTCATGAATTCTTAAACTGTATATTTTAATATATATTTCATATAGTGATTGCTAAGATGTTCACGTTTTGATGTACTTTAATTATTACGTTCTTATAAAAAGAAAGAACAAAATTACTACAGCTTATAGATAACTAAGAAATAAAGTGAATTTTTAACTGCCAAAGGGAAAGGAGGACATACTGAATAACTTCTTCTAACCAAAATGCTCAAATAATAATACAAATAAATTTACTGTATTTATATATAATAATTTAATAATACAAGGACTTACTGTATGTCAAGGACTTCACTAGGTGCTTTACATGCATTAAATCGTTTAAAGAACACTGGAATCACATGATTTTCATCGTGGCTTCACAAATGAGGAGACAGAAGCTTAGATAAAGTCAGCGAACGGCCCAAGCCTTACAGTGATGAGGAAGCACAGCCATGGTCAGTCAACAATAAAGTGGTGGAATCGAGATTTGAATCAGACAGTCTGACTCCAGAACTTAGGCTCTTCACCATCAGGCTACACTGTCATCATTAGCCACAGAATCATCGTCACACACTCCACAGCAGCAAGGATGCTGGAGACCAAGGAGCGGGGTGGGGGGCTGCCATGATGAGAGGCTACAAGCAGTTTTCCACTACTGAGATAAGGGTCTTCCCCACACTTAAAGGACAATAAAGAAATGATTCCAGGGCTCTGCTTCACAGTGGTTCAGGGGCTAGTGCCTAAGCACTATTTTAATTGCGGATTCTAATTCTAAGCACTATTCTAAAAGCATAAAGTAGGTGGGAAAAGACCATACTTATGCAAAGGGATTTTGTGTTCTGCTTTTTAATCTGTCTGCTCAGTCACAAGATACATCCCTGCGAGACCCCAGGCAGAAACTTTTGCAACAGGCAGAACTGAGCTCCCATTTTGAATCTAGGAAGAACTGACCACAGGTCCAGGAACAGCTAGAAACAGTCTAGATAACCTGGGAAGACAGGCTAGTAGTAGATCTAAGCCTTAGCCATTTCAAAACCAAGAATTGGAGACTGACAACCCTTTAGAAATCCTCAAGTACAACTCACTTGTTTTTAGGAAAAGCTGAAATGATTTGCTCAACTTTAGGAAGCTAAACAGGCAGAATGTTGAGAATCTAGATCAAGGCATCTCCTTAACCAAGGGCTCATCAGAACCCCGATCATTCCTTATGGGGGGTCCCAGTTTCTGAGATGGCCAACATACCAACTACCTAGAAGTCTGGCCAGAGCAGTGTCTATTCTTTCAGTCCTTATTCCTACACCTGTCACTCTTCTTTTCCCAGTCCTTCCTAGAGCCACAACTAGCATGTACAGATGGATTTCTTCTGTACATTCCATTACCTTAATTCATTAAAAAGAAACAAATTTTCAAAATTCCATTATGAAGACTTCTAACTAGTACCTTTAACACAGGAAAACAACAACTAAGGACCCCTAGGCATCACTGGAAGTGAACTGACCTACTGTGTTCACTCGCAAAACCGCATCCCACTCCCATTTCTCTCAATCCATGATCTTCTACCAACCAACTTTCAGTAACTCTGACTTTTTTGCACACTGGGTTATAAATTCACTTTTCCTGAAACAATTCTCTAAGGAACCAAACAAAACTATAAATACTTAAACTCCAGTTTTAAAGATATTTCTCTTTAATACATATCCACAATAATACTGCATCTTACTCGGCACATATACACATCCATACACTAACTTCCTGTGGTTTCCCTCCTGTCTTCAAATATCTCCCCCTCTCTCAGCTCCCTTTCTTTCTCTGCCATCTCTGCTCCTATTTTTTATTTCCTCTTTCACTTTCTGGGAGAGCAACAATAGCATGCAAGCAACTAGATGATCCATAAGCCCAGGCTGTGAGGGAGAAACAAGTGATAGCCCAGGGCTACAACAGCTCCCTCCAGCCAGATGAAAAGAGTCTCAATCAATGCTGTAAAAGAAAAAGCCAGTGAGATGGCTAAAGCAGAAATAACACCTTTCTTATCAAGAGGTTTTAGCGCACAAGCAGCAGACAAGGTAAGAATGCTGCTGTGTGATTCTACGCTGTATATTCTGAACACAGAAGACAAGTTTAGACAAGCCTTTTATATATGCACCACCCAGCAATGTTATAAGAGATCATTTCTTGGCTTTAATGAAACATGACGGAAGCGAAAAATGCCTAGCTTTCCAATCTCAGGAATACAATGAAGACATTTTCAGGAAAAGTTGTTAATAGAGCTGAAAAATTTGAAAGAAGCTAGAAATCTGGAGCTATTAAATAAAAATATTTATCATTCCAAACATACTCTCTAGGATTTCAAAACTACCACCAGATGTCACTATGGAAACTGATTTTAAATGTGCATACAGTGGAAAAACTGGACTGAAA